AGTACTGCTGCCTGCCTCCCAACCCTGGGATATAGCAGATCCAGAAAGCAAGAAGATCAAGAGACTTGGTCTCAAAAAAAAACAATTAAGAACTAGAACTGGAGCTCAATGCTGGAGCTCTTGCCTACCATGCAGGAGGCCCTGGGTTCCATCCATAGCACTGAAGAAAAAAAAAAGTGAGTGCATGATTCTATTTCTAGAACCTTCTAGAAGAGGAAAAACTACAGAATGGAGAAGAGGTCACAGATCACAAGAGACTGGAGATGTGAGGTGCTGACTCAGAAGAATAACAGGGAATATTTTGGGGAGATGGAGCTGTTCTGTATGTCAAGTGGGGCACTAGCTCCACAGCCCCATGCATCCGTCAAAACTCACCTAACAGTGAACACAGAAGACAAAGCCTGCTACAAAGAGACCATGCCTTCTCAAACCTGCTTTCCAAGTAGAAGGCAAAGAACAACAGGGTGTGTCAAGATGACCTGGAGACTTCAAGTCCTGAGCTGGCAGTTGGGGTTCCCCAGAAGCACACTGGATTAAATACCAGCTCTCTGGAGACTAAGACATCAGGGCCATGAGTTCGAGATCAACATGGGCTACATAGTGAGACTTGTCTGGGGCAGGGGAAGGGGAGCACTCCAGGATGGAAAGGCAGAGAGTACTGAACCACATCCCACAACCAATGACAGACAAGAACTATCATTTTAATGAAATGAACCCTACGGACATGAGACCCAATATCGCTACCAGTCAGATGCTCCTTGGCATATGGTGGAACAACATCCAAAGAAACACAGACAGCATAAGCTGGTATCACCCAATCAACCCTGCCGGCCGGCACTCAGCATTCCTACATATCAACGGCCACCCTTGTTATCACCCGGCACTACCATTTGTTCAGCGGCCCATTATCACAAGCTGTCAACAGACCATATACTGCTAGCCCAGCATAAGACCACAATTCAGAATTCCAAGTCTGGTACCTATTGCCTGTATGCCCCTTCTCTGCCCTTATGTTAAGTTGCAAATTGTATGCTGAACATGAGGGTAAATCAGGAGCCCCCCTCCCGCCTCTGCAATATTCCTGGTGGGGTGGGGGGCTCATTAAACACTGGTTTTCTGCTTCAAAACCAACCCTGATGCTTGCCAAGTGGACTGCATAAGAGCTGAAACTTTGGGTTTGGGTCCAGGCATTTATCTAGCAAGCATGAGCACCTCAAAAGGCCATCATAGACCCGAGCCTGTTTGGTTTTGCCTCTAGATGGACAGATCTTGGGTTCTCAGGGATTTGGGGTTTGGGGACTATGGGTGAGGGATCATTGCTCCGTGGAGTAAAGTTCCCAGTGGCAAAGTCAAGTTAATTCTTCCTTCCCAGATTGCTCCTCTGGGAACTCCTGGCAAGTGGTTGCAGTAGAGGGACTTATGACTCAGGGCATCCCTCCATCTCAGTAGAACTGTCCAGAACATTCTACATTTCAGGTCTGGCCAAGTGTCTAACCACGTGCTATTACATCTCTAGGAGGTCCCATCACACTTCCCAGTGCCCCCAGGCCCCTGATGCCACGGTGTCTCTGGGTTCCTTGAGTTTCTACAAACTTGGACAAGTGTGATGAACACAGGGATGTGTCAGACACAGACTGGGACCCAGCACTGGAAGAGTCAGAATCTCACAGCCAGTGCAGAGGAGGCATACTAGCATAAGGGGACTGGGAAACTGACACTGGCATTTGATGGAGCAGGTGGCATCATGAGTGTATGCTCCAAGAAGTCGGAGATGCCCCTATGGAGCCAACAGATCCCAGCTCTCAGGAGGCCACCAAGGCCCCTCCTCTCTACAATGAGTGGGACAACAGAGTGAAGGTGTGTGCATGTAGGGCAGCTCTCTGAGAGAATAGGGCAGGTTGTCCTCAGACCTTCTGACTGGATGCAAGGACAGCTCTTACATTTTGTGTTTGGCCTCCAGTCTGAGCTGCTGAGAGACAGAGAAGGATGGGACTGAGGTGGCAAACTGTCCCAAAGTGGAGAGAAAGCAAGGGTCCACCCTCTAGCAGTTAGCCACAGTGGACCTGGCAGGTGGAAGGAAGTCTCGGGTGCCACAGTCAACTCCAGTCTTACAATCCCTCCCCTCCACAGACAGCAAAGACACCACTTTTCATATTGTCTCACAACCATCAGTAAACATATTTCTAAAATGGCCCCACACATCAAAAACTCATGGGGCCATTCCACTCAAAGACCAGCTCACAGGGAAAACTCCATAGAAGAGAACACCCCTAAGACCCTAGGATGAACATCCACGAGGCCACCACACAGTAACATTCTAGATGCCTGCAACATAAGAAACCATCTCAGAGAGTCCAGGTACAAAAGAACACGGCTCCAACCCCCATTTACATGAGGCTCAAAAGAAGGTTAGAAACCAGGTAGGTCAACTGATCTTGCTGGGGTGTGGTCAAGAAGGGGAAGAGGGAGGTCCTTTGACTTGGAGGCTGAGGGGCCATCAATGATGCCAGACCCAACTCTGGTGCTTGCCTGTACATGTCTTAGATTTTATTTTATTCTAAAACGTTCTGGATGTATGTCAGCTGAACTGCTTGCCTAGCATGTGTGAGGCCCTGGTTCCATTCGCAGCATAGTATAAAACCGGGTGTGGTGGCTCACATAACACTCAGCCACACAGTGAGTTTGAGGCCAGCCTGGACTACATGAGACCTTGCCTCCCCACCAAAAAAAAAGAAAGAAAGAAATAATTTTTAAAAGTTTAGAGAAATTGCTTAAGTGCTTATTTTTTTTCAATGCCAATAGTATTTGAATTTTTTTTAAGTTAGTGTCCTGTGAGGTGTCTTGACTCTCAGGCAAGTCTATTTTATCTCCTCCCACTGGCTGTTATTCATAACAGCCTCAGGTCCTCTGTCCCTCCTTCCTCACCCCTCCCTTAAGCAGCTCCAGGCATGATGACCTGGCTAGGAGACCAGCTAGGCCTGGGATGGGAAGCGCCCCCTTCCGGAGCGGGGCTGTATAGTTCTTCAGGCCAAAAAGGGAACAGAAGTTCTGCAGAGAGGGCGGGAAACTGCACACACTCATTCCAAAGCTACTTAGAGCAAGCGAGGCCTGGGTTAGCCAGCAAAAAAGGTTGGGATGCACTCAGGGTGCTTGAGGCCCAGCCCAGCTATACCTCTTGTGGGGAGCCATCACCTACAGCTTTCAGAGTTGCAGCTTTCAGGATGGACAGGGGTGAGCTGAGGACAGCAGAAGGGCTCCCCGACTCCTCTGCTTCCTCTTGGAAGGCTACAGAAGGGGAAAAGCCATTTAGCAGCACAGTGGTTGCTCTCTGTGACACCCCTAGAACTGTCTGGAAGCATGTTCTCATCCCCTGACATCCTCCAAGCCCCAGCTACTCATTCCAGTGTGGGTACTAGAGTCACATGTCCTCTGATCATTTTTCTGGGCTGGGAGTGCTTGGGAGGGCACACCGCCAACCTTCAGAGCCAACCTTGGCAAGGAGGAATTCAGGGGGCAAAATCCTGGCACCAATGTAAAGCACCAATAACACTGTGGTTATGGAGACACCCCTCAAAAAGAGGCCCTCCACTACACAGATCCTAATTTTCACCCACCTCCAAGTAAACCACTTGCTCCAAAACCTCATGCTTTCTTGGTATAATTTCACAGCCCCAGGAACCGACCATCTGGAGCCCCCAGAAGAAAATGCAGTCATCCGTGCTCTTTGAGCAGGGACTCCAAGAGCCCAAAGGGCCCAGCCTTAGCTGGGAGTGACTGGCCCCACCCATTACACTAGAGCTAAGGACCCCTTGCAAACTCCAGGGACCTGACCAGCCCGTGTAATTTTGGACTCAATGAACTGGAACCTGAAAAGAGGTACATTTGGGCATGGCAGGGTGGCCAGCCAGCCGAGGGAGCAGGGTGTGTCGCCCCACACACATACCAGGAATCTGGGTCATGCTTAGATGACAGAGAAACCTCGACTCTACCCACCCGCGCCTGCCTGCATCTCCCCAGATGCTAAGCAAGCCCTCTTCCAGGTTTGCAGGAAGCAAACGAGGACTTCAAGAAATCAGGGCACCTTGTGTGGAATCACTTCTCAGCTGAGGAAAAAGGGCTCTTTGCCTCTTTCCTCTGGGTCTTTCATGGAAGGGGTTGGGGGTGCCTACCTGCCCAAGACATCCTCTGGTGTTCCCTCTCAGCTCCCCAGGGTGTGAGAAGCTAAACCCAACCAAGTCCACAAGCACCCTTTCTGTCCTTCTGCCTTCGCTCATACTGAAACAACTCACATCAGGATCAGGTCTTCCCAGGCCATGGGCCTCACCCGGTGGATAATGCTGAGGGGGCTCTGATCTGTGACAGAAGGAACAGGACTTGCATACACCGGGTGGGGTCGGAGGAAGAGTCCCCCAAACCACTCAACAGGACAGTCCCCCAGATGGAGCTGGTGGCCCACCTAGAGGCACTCACTGAGGCTGGGATGACTGCTTCACCACCAGGCCACATGGTGTCCCATGCCATAGGCCCGAGGCTCCCACCTTGGGTAGAACACCAGTGTTGAGAGGTCGGGGTCCTAGTCTACAGGATTTGGCATGGGGGGGTGCACTCTGTAGCCCAAAGCGTCCAGGCACTGGCCCAGCTAGGGCCCCATCGGGAAGAAGTCAGACCCCATCCAAAGAGCCCTCATCACTGTCCCCGCGCGACCCAAGACCCAGACCTCCGGTCTTTGCAAGGAACCACTCACTCCCCCGAATCCCGAGTCTCCTAACTACTCGCAGGCTCGCTCCGCAGCTGCAGCCCAGCAGGCCGGGAGGCTGCTTCCCTCAGCTCCCGGGCCCTCAGCTCCAGCCCCTAGCCGCCTAGGAGACCCCAGCTCCCATCAACGCCCAAGTCTCTCTCTCAGCCCCGCAGAGGGAGGAGGAAGAGGAGGAGGAAGAGAGGAGGAGGTGGTGGAGGAGGAGGAGGGGAGGCGCGGCCGCCCGGGCTGGGGCAAAGGATATGGCCATTCCGTGATCTTTTTGGCGTATTTTCTCACCACGTTGTCTTCACTGAAGAGGAACAGGGAGCGGTTGACCGTGAGGCAGTTCTGGCGGACGGGGATTGGGTTGTAGAGGGCCATGGTCCGCGCT